GAGCAGATCTGACTTCAGAGCCCAAGTTCTCCACCATTCCCCTTTCTCCCCAGAAGTGTTCTCTCACACCTCAAAGAAAGTCTTGGTAACGAGCAATTTAAAAACTCTGGTTTTATTAAGCCCCTGCAAGCCCTTCTACCCCACAGGAAGGTAAAAACAGTCACTCTGGAAGAAAGGATATTTTTAAAAATTTATTGTGCCCCGGCGGCATGCCTGAGGTGCTCACAAGAGCAGGAAGTGCATGATGGAGGCTTTTTTCCTCATCACAGGAGTTAGGCTTTTAGGGGTGTTCCCCCCCCCCATTCTTTTCTGGTGGCCTAGAGTGGGGATGGAGTTCATGGAGGCTCACACAGCCCTGAAAAGCACTTCCTGGTGGCATTTCGTCCAACCTCCTGTACCCACACCAGATGACATGTCTGCTCCCCCAGCCAGACGGATGTCTATATCCCGAGAGCTTCATTCTGACACCAGTGTGAGTCAAATCTGCAGAGTGTGTGTCTCTTAGGCGGCGTTGATCAAGAATCCCCAGCCTGTCAGGAATGGGGGTGGGCTGGGAGAGAGCAAATCTGACACTGGATTTGGACCGCATGTACTCATTCAGTTAATGCATCCAACTTTCATTCAGTGTCTACTGCAGCCCGAATCTTAAGACAGCACGGTTGCCAAGTGAAAACAGCTGTGTCAGAAATAATGCCACCCCCCCAGACCCCTGTATACCATTCAGCAAATTTCACCTTTCACAAGGAGAAAGGTTTGACCCAAACAATAACACTCCCTTTCCAGAGAAAAACGATCATTCATCGCCAGGGCAAGCATTCTCTATGACCCTCAGTACCTTGGTTTTTAACCACAGGCTGTCAGGAAATCACCTCCCAGCTGCCCCTCACTCTGCTCCCGAGGACAGAGTCAGCACAAATGTGCTAACTGATCTCTTGGCACAAAGGGGAGTCTGGAATTAAATGGTTCAAAGGCATTTTTCCTGCCTCACAATTTGGCCATCTTTCCCTTTATGCAGTAAAATCTCCAATAGTTTGGAATTTATGATCCTTTGGACAGACCTGGGCTGAAGTCTGCTTCTGGACTATTCTGCATAGAGAGGATTTTCGAAGAAAATTAATAGCTTGCCAAAAGAATTGTAAAGGGAATTGCTTATTCCATTTAAAAGGGCCGCCTTTCTAGCCCTTTACAAACACTCCTGCGTCCACAAACAATTGATATGCTAATTTCAAATGGTTTTTACATGTTCATTAGGTCCTCAGCTACTATTCTGGTGATATGATTATTACAGTTGGGTCTAGCCTCAGACACTTAAGTTTTCTGCTTTGAGCATAAACTTTTTGGGTACAAACTTTTCTGGGCCAAACAATTAAAAAAGAGAATTAATTAATGCCAGGAGAAATGACTGTACTTCTTCAGTGGGGACAAAAAAGGGGTCTCTTACTCTCCAACTATCTTACTGATTCATGCTGACCGTCTTTCAAGCTCGTATAGGGTGAGGCTGCACTTTGGCCACCCTACATCCCAGGTGGCCTGGGATAGTCCCCATTACATCTTCCATTCTGGAATAACTACTCACAGCAAACCTTTCACTCTTGATATGAATAATAAATTATACAGTTGCTCTAGGTTTGATGGAACTAGGGATTCAAACTAATTTTTCAGGAGTTTCAGTCTTCTTTGGACTGGCAGTACCTGGTCATCTCTACACAAATGAAAAGAATACTCTGTGGGGATGTTATAGCAATCCATTCTGAATCTAGATAATTCTTCACCAGCCCTCCACCCCCTAACTAAGAAAGTCCTATCAGAAAGCAACTAACCTTCCCCCAGGGAAGAGAATGATGGGACCACTCCCACCCCACCTCCTGTGTGTTAATTCCATCTCAATGCATGGCCTGTCAGCAGCTGAAATCCCACAATATTTACTGCTAGCATCTTTTGGGGGAGAAATGGGTAGGCATGAGGAACACAATACTGGAAGGAAATGTTGATTTCCTCTGGCCATTATAAACAGAGCGGTTTGTTTTAGAAGTGATGTCTATTAAGCAATCACTCTGGACCACACACTGTGCGAAATGTTTTACCTGACTCAGTCCTCATAATTCAATGTCTGAGATGGCTACTATTATTTCTATTTCAAGCTGACAAAACAGGCTCAGCAAGGTAAAGCCTCTTGTCTAGGACACTCGGCTAAATGGTAGAGCTAGAACAAGAATCCAGGTCTGTCTGAAACTCAAGTCTGAGCTCTTAACCACTATGATATACTGCCTCCCACTCTGCTATACGTTCGGACATTTGAGTCAGACATCTGCTTGCAATCTGATACACAATAAAGCTATTGCCTCATCAAGTATGCCTCATGGAGGGGGAGAGGAAGGCGGGGAGGGGGGAACAAGGGGAGGTTTTGCTTGGAGTGTGATTGTATGATATATGCATAGTGCTATGAAATCAACCAATTGAATGTAAGCTTCTATCCTGGTACTAAATTATATTCGGAGATAGACTTAAAATATTCTGGGGAAGTTCATTCAGAGGAGGGGTAGCCCTCATCTATAAACACGTATTAAGTGTGTAACCAACAGAACTGGCCTGGCTGGTGTTTCATCCAATCCCTCCCCCATCTCTCTACAGATCTGCTGACTGAGTGCTGGTCTTGACTCATGGAACTAAATGACATTTCTGGTCAGACCAAGTCCCTAGACTGCCTCTAGAGGAAGCCACTGGGGCTCAGCTGATGCTATGCCAGTGTCTCTGTCCCTTTCCTTCCTGAGAACCCAGCTTTGGAAACATGGTACTTTCACTGTTAAGTAAGCATACAACACTAGAAAGGATACAGAGACCGACCTCACTGGATGTGGTTGGCTTGGATGGGGATGGGGATGATTCAGGTTTTACAGACAGTCTGTTGAAAGACGACTCAAACCCAGCCTTCCCTGAAGCCTTGAATACAAATGCTCCCCACTCGTTTCCCACCCCAAACCAGCAGTAACAGCTATAAAACTGGAATCTATTCTACAGAGGGGCCACACCTGTTACAGAACTATCGAAGAAGATCCTTCCAGCGTGACATAAATTAGGGGCTTATGACTCAGACTTTCACCCCAGCAGTGGTTTCCAGGGGTAAGGAGACCCAAGATGTTAAAAGACACCTAGAGGGAAATGACACCTGGGGGAGGAGGGTTGGCTATTGTTAAGAGTCCCAGATGCATTATGTTGGGATTTAAACAATGCTACAAAAAGCATGAGGGTTAGGAGACTTCGGGCAATTCACATGATTGAGAATATGACCAAGAAAGGGACATGCCAGTAACAGACAGATAGGCAAAGGGTGAAGGTACCAAGTCAGGTGGACTTAAGGCGTTTTCTGTATTCAAATACCACCCCGAATCTGCTCTCCTCTTCCTGCATCCCTGAAATATATGGCAGACTCTGAACCAAATGCCACACATGTAGTTTTCAATGAAATTGTCTTTAGTTTCTTCTACAAGGGCATATTCTTTGGCCCACACAGCACCGGATTTGCCAATAGTAGGTGCACTCCAAAGGCAGAATGGATGGCTGAAACCCAGGAAGATAAAACTGCTGACGTCAAAACTCTCTACAAAGAACCTTTTCCCAAGCAGAGAAACATCAGTCCTGGACGGCATTTGGTGTTCTCATTCCCCTTCTCCAGCCTGTGTCACGAGGTGTCCCCCTCCCTCCCAGCCACAAATACTGGCTGCTGTTTGCAGCCTACCACATCCTGCTTCGACTATACACCCATTCCCGATATGTGGTACCCATTTCTCTAAAGACATGCATGAGCTAGGCTCCCAGCAGACTCCGAAAAGTTCTCCAGCCCGAGTTTGATTCTGTAGATAGGATTCCCCGTCACCCACTGGAAAGTTCAGATCCTGTGGTTCCAGAACAGGCATTCTGTCTGAAGCACTTTCACAGACCTGTTTTCAATCTGCTCTCTAATGGAGCCTGCCAGGATTAATACATCCTCCAAGTGGTCTCCCCTGGTCCACTTTGTTCTTTTTCTCCCACTGAACCACTCATCCAACACCAGCAAAAGATGAGTTTTCATACTGCCTTGATTTTCCCTGACAGAGGGCACAGGCTTCTTCCTTTCATTCTCAAACTCCTCTAAATTGAATGCTTTATGAAAAGAATTGGGTTTTCTCTGTCTTGGAATGTTCTCCCCAGCCTTCTCTCCATTTCACCCCACCTCCTCTTCTCTTTTCTTTCTGCCTTTCTTTCTTTTCTTCCCCTATTCTCCCCCATCCCACTGTTTTCACCATCTGTGGGTCTGTGCTCATTCTTGAGTTCAAAGCAATCAGATCCTTTTCGAAAAACCAAATAAAACTCTTCCAAGATCATCTTCACGATCTTGGAAGGCTCCTCCCTGACTCTTGAGCTCAGAGTACTGGTTTTGGATGCTGGAGAAGAGAGAATTCAGCAGCAGTGGCAGCCAGAAAGGCGTGGAGGAGGGTGCTGTTTAGGGTATATTTGAGGGAACAGCATATGGGCTTTTGTCAAAATGTTCAGAGCTCGCTAGTTTCTGAGCTGAGTATAGAAATGTGCCGTTACCTCTGAACACCACTTGAGCTGGTTCAACCTTCATCTTCTCTTCTTGTACAACACCCCCAGCCACCCCAAATCCACCATTCCTTTGCCCCCCTGTCCTCTGAGCTCTGATACCAAGAAAAGTTTCTTAGTCAAGTCCTATCTCACCTACACCGCCCACCCCAAGAAAGCAAAACCTCTCAAACAGCAGCTGCCAGGTCAGCAGACAACTGAGTGTTGCTCCCCCTAAAGACTCCCTGTCCCTTCTCACCAGCTTCCACCTCACACAGGCAATTAGTTCCCATGTTCGAGCGAGAGACACCGAGTAGTGATGGGAAAAAAAACAGGCGCCCTGGCCCAGCTGCCTGCATCCACCCCTCAGGGCTCGGGGGACACACAGGCCAGGAAAGAAGGGCCATCAGGGTCTCTCCTTCTAAGAAGGAGGTCATTACCTTGGCAGAGGCTTGCGGGCCGTGATACTGGCGACAATGATGCTCTCGGGACGCGGGGTGGCCACAGCTTTAAAGGTTCCTCGCCAGAACTTCTCAAAAAGCTGCTTCTCCCCTTGCTGAACGCTCGCCATAGCCAACCCAAAGGGGCCCGGGGCGTCCGGGCGCTGTCCGAAGTGCTGAAACGTGGATTCCAAATGGGGGCACACCCGGCTCCGGGCTCAGTCCTTGTGAAACCCAGAGGGGTGGGGTGGCAGAGATCGGGGGTTCAGGGCGGGGGATGGGGCGCCTCAGCCCAGGCAGGCAGGGGAGAAAGAAGGCTGATCCGCCGTCTTTCTTCGCCTTCTGTGTTGTGTCTGGGCTGAGCTCTGAGCTTGCTAAGCCTCCGCGCCCCAGGAAGGGAAGGGAGGGCTGGCTTTCTCGGCAGTGCCAAGAGAGAAGAGGCGACGGGGTCGTCTGTGTGTGCGTGCGCGTGTGAGCTCAGGCGCGCCCGGGTTTTGTCTCTCGCACAATGTGACGTTGGAAGAGGAGGCTGGTCGCGCGAGCAGCACTTTCCTCCCCCCCCCCACCGCCGACTCCTCCGTCTCTTCTCCTCCCTACCAACTCCCTCCTCCTCCTCCCGCACAGCCTCCTGCCGCCATCTGCATAACAAAAGCCCGCAGGTCTTGGGAGGAGAAAGGGCGGGGCATGTGCCTGTCACCAGGGCCCCGTGGCGACAGAGTTGCGGCGTTGACCCCTCAGAGAGGCAATCCCGGCACTCCGAACTGAACCAGGCAGGACATCCTGCTTCCCAGCCTGTTCTCCTCCCCAGCCATAGCAGGCCTTCCCCCCTTCCCCCACCTCTTCTTGCGTGTCCTCTGGGCCCAGCCACCTCCCTTCTCAATCCCCTTCGCAAGTCTTGTGGCAGATCTTCTAGTGTGGGGGGGGGGAGTAAAAAAACAAAAACAAAAACAAAAAAAACCCAAAAAACTTAACCTAGCCGCCCAAGCCAACTTGACCCTCTCACTTCTGGGAGAGACTGCTTGGGCCAGCAAAGGGGGTCCCTTGCATTCCTCTTTGTGCCTGGGCACCACGAGATCCCCACCACCCAGAAAGTGCCATTTGATGGACAATCCTTCGCCAATTCGGCTTTTCGCCATCTGCCAAGCCAGGTCCCCGCCCGCAGAGGGGCGCAGCGCTACATCTGTGCTTGCGGCGCTGTAAGGAAGATTTCTTTTGTGCCTCACAGCCAGCCAGCCCAATGTCCCCGCTGCCAAACCCGTCCAAAGGAAAGAGTGCCCCCCACCCCACCCCACCCCATCCACTCCTGGGGAATTTAGCCACAACCACAGAAAAGTGGTTAAGAAATTAACATAGCTTGTCTCAGGAAAGGAGTCCCTTTTGGAAAAGTAAAGCACTTAGAGAGAGGGATCTGAGGGGGGAAATCAGGATTACAGGGGGATAGTTACTTTTAGGTCTCTCTCCCCATCTTCTACCCCCTCTCCCACTTCAACCCTAATCCCAGAAAGTGAGAGTTCAGAATCACAAATAAACCCTTAGAGGCACACGGTCTGGGCAGAATTTCTCTAGTTTCACCCCCAGGGTTTTCATTAAGAAAAAGAGACAGTAGCAGGACCCCTCGGTGCATCTCTCCCTTGGAGCCCTTTAATCTCCGAAGAGTTACTACTCCCACTCCCCAGGTTGCAAATTCCTGGAAGGAGGCCTTGCCAACTCTTAAAGGCCTCCAAGCACCTAGCACAAGGTCTGGGCCACAGCCAGAACAAACCCATGTTTCTGGCTGATGCTGACAGGGACAGAGACCAAGAGACCTGGGCGCCAATGTGAACTTCAGAAGTTCTTTGAAAGGGAGAGGAGGGACATGGGAGAGAAAGGGGAGAAGTAAGGCAAAGAGAATAAGACGGGGGAGGAGAAGGAAGAAAGAACCCTGGGGAAACAGAGTATGGATGTATGGATCCAGAAATGTACGTGGCTTTGGATATGTGTGTATTTGGGTATTTGTGTGCCTGCTTAAGAGAGTGACTAAGAGCACTGCTCGCTCTGCAGTGACCCCTTCTGGTCGACAACGAGAGATGCACTTGCCGGCTTCTTGAAGTGGGCTGCAGCAGCCCAGAGGTGGGGTTGGGCTGGGAGCTTGGAGGAGGAGGAAAGTAGAGAGTAGGTTCTACTTGTCTCCTGCCTATACCCCAGCCCAAATTCCCCACTCTGCTATCACTCGTGGGCCCACTGCCCACCCTGAAGGTGACTGTCATCTTAAATGCCATTGAGAGCTGGCCCCTTAAGTAGCCTGGGATATTTAAAACCATCTTTAGTCATGACATTTGGGGGGTGAGGAGGGGGGGGGGGGGGGGGGGGGGGGGGAAGTAGCTGGGATCCTACCCCCACAAGATCAATCAACATCTTTCAGCCTGTTCTGGTTCTAAGTTCCCAGAATGTTGATAAAGTTCCATTTGCATAACATTGCCTCTTTTGACCCTGGAACTGTAGCAAGAGGTAGGAGGGGTACCTGCTCTTACTCCTTTTTAAAGGTGAGGAAGGTGAAGTGTGGGATGGTCAGGTGGAAATGTGTAAAAACTACCAGATACCAATGAACCATGTATAGAGTCGTGGTGGTGAGGCTCCTAAATGGTGAATCTTGGGTGATAAATCCCAGGCATCAAAGCCAGGCTACTTGGGTTCAAATCCCAGCTCTGCCCCTTCCTAACTACATGATCATGGAGTAGTGACTTCATATGTCTGTGCTTAAGTTTCCATATCAGTAATATGAAGATTCTATAGAGAGTAAATATCATGTGTTTAAATGTAAGGATTAGAGGACTGAATGCATGTCCGGGGCACAGAATGGTGTTTGGAACAGTTTACTAAAATGGAAGTTATTATTGGTATTTTTAAGAGCGCAGACTCTAGAGTCAGACCGACTAGGGTATGAGGCCCAGCTCTGCCACTTTTGCGCTGGATGGCCCTGGGCTAGTTACAAGTCTCGGCCTCAGCTTCCCCATCTGTGAAATGGAGATATTAATGCACATCTCCTATGGTGGCGGTGAGGATTAGATGAAATATTCCCTGTAAAGGATTTAGCATGGTGTCTGGTTCATAGCAAATGCCCATTAAATGGTAGGTATTATTGCTTATTGCTGCTACTGTTGGAATTGACAGCTGTTGGCATCACAAGTCCTTATTTGGTTCAATAATCATTCAGCAATGCCTCAACTTGGTTAGGTACAATCCCGGGCATGGAGGGTTCAATGATAAACAAGGCATGATCCCTTCCCTGAAGGAGTACAGTCTAATTCACCTTCTGGGGTCCCATTGCCTAACATCTGTCTCCTTTTCACCTTATCAAGTCTAGAATGCCAACACCAACCAATTAGTAGTGGCTACCTAAAGAATGTGTTGAGAAAGATTCTGAAGTCATGTCCCAGAAAGCCTGCTATGATGGATTAGTGATATTTGCCACCAGCATAGCACAGAGAGAAGCAGCAATTGTGCTGCATGTGACTTAGGCTGTAGGTCTTCTCCAATATGACATAAGCCCCAGTTCTATCAGTGGATCAAAATACAACCATCTTGTTCTCATTCCCTCAGGGAATTGCTCTGATCTCCCAGGTGCAAACAGTCCACCTCATAAATTGCAACCTTTCAATACGCTGGTTAGTGAATACAAGTATGTCACGCAGTTGCTGCCTGTCCTCTGTGGTCTGCTGGTGGCCAACATCCACCAGCAGTTCACCAGTCCATTACGGCACTCTTGCTGGGACAAGACTTCAGAATCCTTCTCAACACATTCTTTAAAGAGCTACCCCTAACTGGCTGAAGCTGGCATTCCAGATCAAATCAATTTGCCATCCATGTCTAGAGGATGCTTCTTTGCTTGATTGGTATTGTTCTGCCATTAGAAAGAGGGGAGACCAGGGAGAAGTGATTCTAGGAGTTGCAAATCCAGGCACTCAGAGCATGAGCTAAAGAGATTCTTAGGCATCCTTCCTCCTAGTGATCTGAGGAGGCAGCAGCTCCAGCTCAGAGAAATAGTTACCCCTCGACCTAAAGCAGTTCAAATCCCACCTCACTGATGTTACTGTGTTACTCTGGGGAAAATCCTTACTCTCTCTGTGCCCATGACTTCTCTAAGTACAATGAAACTGATCATTATCCACCAGCATCAAGGGACATCAGGGTACTTGACAGTCTGTACCCATTTCCAGATGTCCAATGAACAGTGAATGATTCAAATAATTTCTGAGATAATGGGAAATATGATAATGAGACCAATTCATCTGTCCTTGTGCCTTTACACTTCATGCTAAACTATTCAAATTACAAGATTCTGTATTTCTTCATATAGACTTTTGGGGAGGAAAAAATGATTACACTACTGGGGTTTACTAATCCTCACCCCTTGAAAGTCCCACCTTGTGTCTAATCTGAATCCCACCTTTGCTGTTAATTGTCCATTTCTCTTCTAGTGCATAGATATACATTGCCTCCAATGCCCCGGGACTAACATAGATAAACCAGGAATCCCTTTTTTCCCCTGGCTGCATAGTTCCCAAGAGTCTACAAGATGCATACATTCACTGCTGTCCCAGATAATAATAATAGTTGTGCTTACCATGTTTACGTCACTATGCTTGACCTTATAGTCGCCACTTGTGCTAAACCTCTGATATACAATTACCTCATTTAATCCTTGCAACAACTCTATGAGCAATGAACCACCATTGTCTGAATTTTGCAGATTTGGAAACTGAGTCTTAGAGTGGTGAGAAGATTCAGTATGTGCAATGACATCACATTGAAAAAGAGTTGAGTATACTCGGGCGCCCGGGTGGCTCAGATGGTTAAGCCTCTGCCTTCGGCTCAGGTCATGATCCCAGGGTCCTGGGATCGAGTCCCACATCTGGCTCCTTGCTCGGCGGAGAGTCTGCTTCTCCCTCTCCCTCTGCACCTCCCCCTGCTCATGCTCTCTCTGTATCTCTCTGTCTCAAATGAATAAATAAATAAATAAATAAATACACTTTAAAAAAAAAAAGAAAAAGAGTTGAGTTATACTCAAGGAAGAGGCTGAAGACGAGAGAAGATAGTGATGGAAAAGTGTGGTCTATGCAATTATTCTGTCCAGTTTGAAAAGCCAATGATA